CCAGGGTCACGGAATTCCGTCCTGCCAGGCGTATTAATTCTACTCGTCTTGGGGGTTTATTGCCGACTGCCTTTAAGGTAGTGCCCAGCAATTGAACCCTAACAAGAGGAACGGTCACACACAAGTGGTTACATAAGAGGATGTATAGAAGCGTAGAAGATTGCAGCAGGTCCTTTAAGCTGCTCTAGAGATTGACATGACAATGTCATCACTGGAAGGATCGTGTCCCGCATCGGACGCTTGCTTGGAAGTCGGGGTTGCAAATCTACTACGCGAGATTGAACTTCGCATAGTAGAGATCGAATCTGGTATCTTGTGACACGCATTAAAGGCAGTTCGCACGATACTGTACCCTTACAGCGCCCTGTCAAGCTACAACATACCGACCAGGACGTCCACCGCGCCACAATTGTCCAACCGATCCTGATGCTCGAATCGCCTTATTCGCGAAGTAGCGTGTGAGGCAAAGGGCCTCATATGAAGCGGCTGCGGTGCTGCATGATATATAAGTGCACACACGCAACCGTATTTGCAGCTGTTATTGGCGCTATGCCAACGAGAAACTACTCCGAAATAGCTTTATGAGTCGTGAAGAACAAAAGCTTTTTTTGCAGGTATTCGGCCGTTTCACCTCGTTTTTTCGCCATTTCCCACTATCTGACACCCCTTTGCTTGTTATGAGACCGAAGTAAGCAAAGTCTACCGTGGCCCAACTGCCTCTGAACGTATATTAATCCAGCTTTTGCATCAACTAGTAAGCCCCCATACCTAAGAAATGAGCCCAGATAGCCCATGTTGGAGATCTAGATGCTTCTGTTTGCTGATAAGTAAAGTACGAAGTTATAGCACAACACCCCCTTGAACTCACAGAAGCCAATACGAGTTCGTTAGCTTGAAGGATGGTTACGGTACCCTTCAGCCAGTACAGATAGCCCTGCTGCGTCAAATGCGTGGAAATATTCTAAGTTTGAAGAATCCGCACTCATTCGATTGCTCCACTGCTTCTAGGGAACAGTGATTGAATCTTCAAAGAACAAGTATGTGATCATTAAACTACTAGGAGCTGGTGGATTTGGAGCAGTCTACAGGTAAGTCCGAATTATTATTGAGCACTTCGTAGCCCTTGCCACCCATATTTTTAGAGTGCATGATCAAAAAGACCCTACAAAAATGTTCGCTTTGAAAGTGGAGAAGAAGATAGAGACAAGGAAACATTCTAAATTGAAAATGGAGGTTTGCAATGCCGCTACGAGGGCGATGCTTTTGAAAGCGAGCACTTACCTGTAAGCTCTCGTTGCAGATTGCTATTCTCAAGTTAGTGTCCAACGAACGAAATCAGTCGCACTTCACTGCAATTATTGACAGAGGGAAGAAAGAAACTTACTTCTTTCTTGTCATGGAACTGGTTGGCAAAAGTCTTGCTGATCTCAAAAACGCAAGACCAGAAAGGGTGAGCTCTTTTTCGCATGGCACCAAGTTTACACTCGAACAGGGAGCTGAATGGTTAAGAGTGTAGACTCATGTTCGCACCCTGAGCAAGAGTTCGATCCCTGCCGAGGCACAAACCTGCCTTGCAAAAATTGCAAAAATGGTGATACCAGCGTCAGGCCCAGGTTGACAGGCCGGCTGATGGAGAACCCGTCACAACAATCATGACAAGTCGCAATAGAATCAGTGTTAATGCTAGGACGTCACCCGGAAGTGGCGCGCAGAACCCTCGCCCGAGTTCTGTGGTCAGTATGCGAGGGCTACCGAGGGGTGAACGACCTCGGCCAAAGAAGCTAGTTCGAATTGGGACCCTGAACGTGGGGTCGCTTACCGGGAAGTCTCGTGAGGTTGCCGACCTCATGAGACGCAGGAATATCCAAGTCCTATGCCTTCAGGAAACGCGATGGAAGGGTGCGAAGGCCCGCGAGATTGGAGAAGGCGTCAAACTCTTCTACAATGGAGCAGACACCAAACGGAATGGCGTGGCCATAGCGGTGGCAGAATCCTCAGGACTGCGTCTCTTCTGTGACAGAATCAGTGAACCGATCATGGAGTGGGACTAGACACGAACGAAGGATACTGGACAGTACTGACCGTGTACGCACAATCCGGTTGCTCCGAGGCGGAAAAGGATGAGTTCTACCTGACCCTGGACGAGGCCATAAGATCGGTTCCGGAAGATGACTGTCTCACCATAGCTGGTGATCTGCATGGCCGTAGGGTAGTGACAGAGGGGGTTTAGGAAGGGTGCACGGAGGCAGAGGATTAGGAGCAAGACACGCTGAGGGAGAACTGATTTTTGACCGAGCCACAGTACACGACGTAGCGGTCTGCAGCACGTTCCTCGCGAAAAGGCAGGTTCGAAGATGACTACAGCAGTGGAGGGAGACAAATCCAAATCGGAAATCGTCCACGTTCTGGTGAGAAGATGGCTTCAAAACTGTCGAGGCTGTCTCGGTACTCCCTGTGGAAGGGCTGGGCCCTCACTTGACAGACATCGCCATAGACCCCCCTAAGAAAACGAGGGTAAGAACCGAGCGGAGAATTCGGTGGTGGGAAATGCACAAGGTAGAAAAGGATAGACTCGGCAGTCCAGCTACCCAGCATTTCTGGACCTTGGGAAAGCATTCGACCGCCTGCCTCGGCCTGTACTCCGGAGTCCACGCAGCGAAACTAACATTCCGGAGCACTTGCTCTCCATAGTGAAGGAGATGTGCGATGGGGCTATGGCAGCTGTACGCACCCCTCACGGCTTGACAAAGGAGGTAGGCATTACGGTTGGGATAAACCGAGGATCAGCCCTCAGCCCAGGATGTGCTCGCTGAAAGTGGACACCGGCTGAACGTAAAGAAGACCAAGTTCCTAAGCTCCGAAGAGTGCACCGAACTCATCGTAGACCGCCATGGCGAGAGCATTGAAAGGGTCGAGGACTTCCAGTACCAGGGAAGTGATCTAGCAGCTGATGGCAGCGTAGACCGCCGTTAAGGGCCGAATAAACGCAGCCTGGATGAAATATAGAGAGTCTACAGGCATGCTCCGTGACCGGCGATGCTCGAGAACGCTCAAGGGCAAGGTGTACCGGGCAGTAATTAGGCCTGCGATGCTCTACGGCAGCGAGTGCTGGCCCATATGCAAGAACCATGAAAGGCAGCTCCACACAGCTGAAATGAGAATGCTGAAATGGGAGTGCGGTTGATACGGCTAGTTATAGTCACAAATGAGGACCTCAGGGACGACACAGACGGCTCCGATCCAGCTGAAGGCATGAGAGCAGCGACTGCGATGGTGTGCGCACGTACTGAGGAGGCCGAAGGCACCCAAGGACGATGGAATCCGAAGAAGAGGGCAAGCGACCACGAAGAGCTCCAAAGAAAAGATAGAGGACGTCGTCAAGACATCACTGACGTGAATGCCCCGGCAGAAGATGCAGTGGATCGGACTAGATGGCGACGCCTAACGGGAACAGCGGATCCTGCGACGGTGCGTGACTAATGGTAGGCAGAATAAGAAGAAGACCAAGTTTACACTACAACCTGTGTCATCTCACTTTTGCCCAGTCGGAACCCGACTTTAAGGAATATGAGAAAGAGGGGGAATAGCTAGTAATCCATAGTAACCCATAATCATCAGTGTGGACTCACTGCGATACACTTGTCGCACGCTACGAATAAGTTCATCTTTAAACATTTCAGTTTTCCTACTCGTGCTTGTTGTCATCCTGCTCATCATTTTTCACTCAACGAAATTCCATTGCAGCACTTTTCGATATCCACAGGCTTGGGCGCTTCAATACAATGTCTCGAAGCGTGCCAAGACCTTCATAAGTACGGCTTCATTCACCGTGATCTAAAACCAGCGAACTATGCTTGTGGACTGGGAGAAAAGAAACGCGTGGTGAGAAATCACAGTTTCCTGTTCAAATTAGTAAGCACTCACGTCTTCCCCAGGTGTATATTTTGGACTTCGGAATTGCTCGACGGATACTTAATGACAAAAATGAATTGAAAACCCCTCGAGTATCAGTGCGTTTCAAGGTATGGAGAGCATTCCATGGTTTTCCTTGAAAGTATAACAGTTAATCGGTTTCAGGGCACTATTCCATTCGCCTCCATTGCCTGCCATAAAGGTATCGAAATGGGACCGAAAGATGATTGCGAGTCATGGTTCTACCTCATGCTGGATCTTACTGTACCAGGAGGTTGGCCCAGTGCATGTATTGCTTTCAGGTTGCACGCGCAGAATGTGGAAACTATCGTGGTACATGGGGCGAGCTCAAATTGCAGCCACTAGGAATAAAAGTGGCGGTGATGAGAGTTGCCTCGTCCTAGGATCTCCTCCCTCCTGGAGATCTCATTAAGACTGCGTCATATTTTGCGGCAGCGTCCACCAGCGTCCACCAGCGATCATCACCGTTACCAGCGTCCGTCAGCATCAGTACGAGGAAAGTACAAATATTGCTCTAACGAGCGCCAACGTCTACCACGGCACCCACGTAAGCTACCGACCATTAGCGTCTGAGGGCTAGAAAGTCTTGAAATGGATCTAGCGTCTACCATCGTCTATCAGCGCCCATTTGTGACCGGAAGCACGGTATTGTGTGGTAGCACGTGCGACTGCGCACGCCGCAATTTCGCGACGCCTAATCCAGCTGTCTCCTCCCTCCTCCTTCCCACACTCTATTACACCAGCAGTCTGGTGTCCTCCTACCCCCCCC